AAATATTTTTTAATGGTCAAGTTACTAACACTTGAAAATCAGATACTGCACCAAATACAGTATTTTTTGTAGTGTTTTTAATGAGTGCACCTATTACTAATGCTGTGCAGATCATGTTTACCGGTCATTGTTATATTACAAACAGACTTGCATGATTAACCAGTTTGTTGTTACACTTTTTTTTAATTGGAGCACATATGACTCAGATCAGACTGGTCTGTCTCATGTGAATGCAGAAACGCAGAGTCAATTTTACATGCCCATGGAGACATTTGTAAAGAATTCAACTATTATGGTCTATTGTATAAATGTGTATCTAGGCACTTTATTATAACTGGAATTTGATCTCATAGATGTTACAACTTGATCAGTCACTTGACCCAGTTTGTGGTAGCTGTCTGTATGTTTTGCAATCCTAATACAGATAAGCTTTCCAAAAAGATTTAATAAAGAACCATTCTGTTTTGGATAAGTCTATCCAGCTGTGGAAAAGGCAACCTGTGGTTTCTCAGTGCTGGTGTTAAATAGGGAGTATATGAACAGCTCTAAAAGGCTGTGTATTGTGGTTACTACTATTATAAAATAAGATCTGCTGGAGCCTGACTGGCCCTTGGGTGGCCTTCATGGAAGGCTTAGAGCTGGAAAGTGTTGATCTGGGTTATTTTTCTGGCATCCTTTAAATTTAAAAAGTTAACATGGGACATGTTTTGATCTTTTGTTGTACCTGATGACAGTGCAGAGATTCTCCACAGCTGGATAAAAATGTTAGAAAGCTACTTACTGTACATGGGCAGTATCAGATTTCAAATCCTAATATTTCAGCTGTGCTTTTAATACTCAAAATATTAGGGGATGGGGTGTTGAAGCTTTCCCTTTTTTTGCTTTAACAATTTATAGAATTTACCAGATGTACTGTCTTTCATGTGGCCTCACATATAAAGCTATGAGAACATACACATGGTTTACAACTTTTACTATATACCTTTCCTTGGCCACCAAGTATTTTAAAAGTGTGCCACCTTTAACCTTTACTTTTTTCTAAGTTGAAGGTGATACTTTTTCTATATATGATGAAACTCATGTCAACTGAAGTGAGTGTAATCTCAGATATCATCAACATTATTATATTTTAAAATCACGCTATGGAAATATCACCTGCATTTTCTGTCATTTGTCAGATTTACAGTATCTTTTTTTTCTTTAACTTTTAGCATTAAATAAAAATAAAATTGGGAGCACTGAACATTTTCTGAGGCCTTTTTTAATTTTTTAAAGTAAGCTTAGAATGGCTTTTGTTGTAATCCCTAATGGCAATGTAACTAAAGGATGTGTGGGTTTGGGGTTGGGGTTTTTGCCTGGAAATGCAGGAGATAAAACACACGGAACAAAAAGGGCAACTAATGGTAGAAAAAAGAAGTGCTAGGAACTGGGGAAAGGGCAACGGGATAAGAGAAACAGATAAAAGCTGAACAAAGTACAGCTGGAAAGCACTTGTTTATTTTTCAGCCAGCAGTAAAGCCCGCCTTTCTGCAATAGTAGAAGGGGAAGATAGTGACAACACTGAAAAGACTGTCAAGACCTGGAGCTTTGGTGAAACAGCCATGTCGGGCCACAGGAAATGCACTGAAGACAAAAGGGAGGAGGGGAAAAAAGCCCTACACTTTGGAAAGCTTTGGAATGAAGTGAGAGCTATAGCCATGTGTAAGCTTTATTGGTATCCTGAAACCTAGATTCATGAATAGAGATAAAAGGTAGAAAACACTCAGGTACATTATAAAACTCCTGTCTGTTATCACGTAGTAATTTCCTAGATGTTGCAGCTTTTACTCTTAATTATTGATCAATGGCTTGGTAGACTTTCTCTATGAAAGGAAGTTATGAAACTTACAGAGTTTGAGGGAAAGATAACATGTAGATATACTACATGTTTCAAGTGAAGCTTCAACAGTGAATATAAATGTATTTACATTAGGGGTGGTCTAGTAACTAGGGGGCCCCATCACTTTATTTTAATCGTTTTTTTTTTTTTTGGTATTAGTCCATTTAAGGTTTTTAAGAACCATGTTCTTAGTAAGTTGTAGATTATAATACATAACACGATTTTTCATTTAGGTTAAAAGACAAACTGTTAACCAGTTTTTATGTTTAACTTTAAAGGGCTAAACTTTAGTGAGATTTAGAATCATGTAACTTGTAGGAGTCATTTTTAAAATATCACAACCTCCTTCCAAAGATAAACTTTAGCAGTTGCATTCAGTTTTCAGTTAAAAAAAAGAAACCAGACTCTTGATGTGGCAGATGTCTTTGTTTATTCCCCAAAGGGGAGTGGGGCTCAGGGAGTTAAAAGGAAAATCTAGAACTTTTTTAATTCCTGGACTTCTGAGGCCTTCTTTACTCAAAGTTGTTTTGCATATGATTTATAGATGATTTTATTTGGCTAGTGAAGACTAAAATATTTTTCTTCCTGATTCCTAAGTGTATACGTGGAGTCATTCAGAAAAATGTGTGCTGGCCACTAGAAGTCCTGAGTCACTCTCATTTGGTTGCCTTTTGTTCATAGGGAATAGTATGAGAAGACATGCCTTTCCTCAGTCACAGACCCAGGTTAGATATACCAATGAATGGAATACATACTCAGCGTCTGGGGTTCTACAAATGGTGGTGATGGAGGGGTGGGAGTGGGGGCAGTTTTAACTCCTTCAGTGCCACTGGTTAGTCCCCTGATAGCTATGTACTATTAAAATCAAAAATTACAGGTGTGACTTTCCAGATTATAAACTATCTGGATCCTTTGTTGCTATTTGTGCTGACAGCCTGCATTTTCCTCAGTATTTCTGAACCCCTCACCGTAATTGAAAAGGCACAAAAATAGACAAGTTAATTTGTAAATTACTTGTTAAAGAGGTTAGAACATAGAAAATGAGTGGATTTATAGATTATCCATGGATTCCTCCATTAATCCTCAGATAAATCCATAATTAGGGATATCACACCACTCCTATTATTAACAAAGCGTATCTAATTTAACAGTGAACTTTGTTTTTAACCCTTGGTGTGCCCCTGGCTCCCTCCCTGTGTCAATACAGCTTAACCTGAAATGATTGATTTTAAACAGCTTTCCTTTGATTTGTTAATTCGAGTATACCTTTATGGTTTTTAAGATTATAGAATATGAAATCTGTATTAGCACTGGTTTTTATCACAGAATATTGTGTGCTCTAGGTAACACTAAGCAACATAAAACAATCCATACAACCCACAGATTTTTTTAGACAAAGTCTCACTATGTCACCCTGGGTAGAGCGCTGTGGTGTCACAGCTCACAGCAATCTCAAAATTCTTGGGCTTAAGCAATTCTCTTGCCTCAGCCTCCCGAGTAGATGGGACTACAGGCGCCTGCCACAACCCACAGATTTGGGGGCAAAAAATAACTATGCCTTTGACAAATCATTATTTAGACTCATGTAGATACTGTATCTTAAAAGTTGTTCTTTTATTTTGAATCTGAAAAACAAGCACATTTCCTTATTAAATAACCCTATTAGAATAGTAAAGTTTCTTTTATAACACAGTCTTAAATATTTCTTTGAAAAATGTGGAATGGCCCTTTACAGCTCAATAGCTCAAACTCATAGATTAACAAGTCTTCAGTGCAAGTACAACTTAGGACAGAATCAGCCATGAAAAACCTTTGGATGATTTCCTCCGAGGCCATGCAAGCCTGGAGACTAGGCTACAGGATTCCTGGCTTAAACTGAGAGCTCCAATGCACTGGTTGATCTCATCTT